ACAGAATACCTATTGTATGACAGCCAAGTGTGACTAGCCAGACCAATAGAAACAAACTCCCCGATGCCTACATCATTAATTATATCAGAGCAATAATTAAGTTACTCCTTGCTGCTTCGATGTAAGACAATAAGAGAACAATGACAAAGTCTGATCAGCAATGAAACACATTCACCAGAGGCACGGTGGACAGACTGGTACAGGACGAGATGACTAGCTCTTCTGGCTGGCATCAGAGACAATGAGATCTACACTGAGGCAGTCCTAGTTCAAGGGAACAGGTGGAGATTTCCACCCTGTCTTCCCAACTCAAGCCTAACATCCTCACCTGACCCAGTTAATTTTCATCATTCTCAGGTGTTCAGGAAGACATGAAACCATAAGTCTTTGAAACTGGTTTTCTCTAACACAACCTTGGGATGCAAAATACTCTACTGATGTTGTTTGCAGTTACTTGCACATGGTGGCCCTCAATAAAATCAAAAGAACATAGGGACCGTGGTTTGCTGAGGTTGGAACTCCAACATAACATTCCTAAAATACCTAAGAGACTGAGCCTGAAGGCTGTCTAAGTGAGGTAGGGAAGTAGTCATCAAAATTAGTTTGGATGAACGACATCATGCAGCTTCCTTCTCCCCCTCAAAGAAGATGCAATCATCATCTACCTGTTCGTCATTAAGCATGTGGCAAATGGTAGAACAAGCAGAAATGCAAGTATAAAATGATTCAGATGTATTCAAAGCCCAAGTCAGGTGTGACTTTTGCATGTTCCTTTTGAGAGCTAGTGTAAAGAACCTACAGCGTAGCCTACAGGGAATCTGGTGAGATGTCTTTCATTGGCCAACCACAAAGGTATACTCCACAAGAAAAAGGAGATACCCCACATCTCCCTAAAGGACCTTGCAATAGTCTCTGTCTCACCACAAACCTAGAATCATCTCCACTACAACTGCCACTTTGCAATGTAGATATACACACTCTGCAATCAAAAGGTATAAATGAATGCTCACTGGATAACATTGATATTTTAATTTAAGAATATAACTCTTCAGCTTTCATAAGCTGAAGATGTGTCTGTATTTTTGTTTCTTGTTGATACTAGAAAAAAGGAAGCAGTGTAAAATGTTTTTCCTCCTGAAGTACAAGGAAATAATTGTATGACCTTAGAGCTGGAAGTTTACCTACCTCTCAATAAAAAAAAAAAAAAAAAAAGGTGATAAAAGATGCTGAAAGGTATAGAATGCAGAGACTGGAAGGTGCCCAAACCAAGTCCTAACCAGAGAAGATCCTGAACAACCTGTTCCTAAGTAACTAAAAGGATATCAAAACTTGATGAGGGAAGAACGAGATTTGCTCATACCTCACAGGCTCACCTTCAAAAGTGTTATTCAATACAGGGTATGTAAACAAGAAAACCGTTACAGATCCCTGCTTACACTAGTGCTGTTTATGGCAGCTCTGAAATGACATTGTCACAACTCCAGCTGATGTCTAGAAGTTGAGGGAAAACCCTGGAAAACAGGTCTCTCTGGATGCTGGAAGGAACATTCAGAATTGGCTAAACGCCACTTTTGAATCTTTGAATGAATTTCAGGTCCTGCTCATTTTGTGCTAAAATGCTTCTACCCATTGTAGGGAGTGCAATCAATTGTTACTTGTCAGATTGCAAGATATGACTTGCCACAAGAAAGTATGAGATTGTACACATGATGATAGGAGTTATTGGGAGAGAGGCGTAAGAAACAAGGGGATGCTGAAGTTCCTCAAATCTTTCGGAAGAAAGTCACGCGGAGAGCCAATCTGTCAAAAACCTGATGATGGGAGAGAGAAAATGGCAATTCCTAATGCGCTAAGAACTGGGGGTTGCAGCATGGCGGGGATACTCTCCTGGACTGCTCAGCTCAACCATTACATGATAGGTGTGTTTAAGCTAAATTAGACTCTCCAGATGCCTCCAGGTTATAACAGACCTGTCAAATCCTTCAGTTTATTTTAATAAGCCAGGCTTAAATCAGTACAGTCTAGGTGCCAACCCATAAGCAGATCAGCCAAGCCTGCCTCAGGGCTGGGATGAGCATTTGGCGGCAATAATTGCTTCAGCCATTTAATTTTTATCCATCATCACTAGTTTATCAGAGCTCCAGACCACCAACTCCTCCTAAATGAATTCCAGAAGGTTTTAGGCTAGACACAGGCAGATAGGAATGAGTACAGAGACGCAACCACCTTGAGAACTTTTAGGTTTGACATGTAGGCACCTACCAATGGATACACTACTGTGGTTGGGCAATTAGTAAGTGGATGGGCTTCTGTATCACAATTTCGCATCTAGGCACCATTAAGTCCATACAAGTCCCACTATAGGCACGAAAGTTCTGGGCCAGGAGACAAAATAACCTTTCCACTTGCCTGAATCTTTGTGCACTTCATCCGATAATATTCAAATCTCCTTAGCTACATTATAATGAGGTTAAAGCAAGAAAAGATTTCCCCACCCCAAATATTACAAATGTCAGTAATGAGAACAGTAAAAATGTCACCACACAGAGAAAAGAGTGAAATTAGCATATTTAGAGAAGTATTATACCCATGAGTGAAATAATGCAATCAGCTAGCTGCAAGATAAAGCTAATTTGGTTTCCAACAGTTTATCAACAATGCACTGCTCCTTTACATTAACAAATTTAAATGGTACCATATCCTGCAAACAAGAATAATTCACACAGAATATTACACTGTGTTAATTAAATAGCTGGAATAGAAAAGGTCAGGCCATGACTGAAAGATGCGCATATGGGTTGTGAAGCTATGAAAAGATGGAGCGATTTCAAATCAAGCAATTAAAATAAATTATTTAAATTATGATTAAGTCAACAGTAAATACACTTATATTTTCTACGCCTATTTTGACAGCTCTGTTCTTTTGTCACTCAGAAACTTCTCTTTCTTGCTGACCCATCCAAGTCAAAGCATCTTTAAAACCATCATAAGATTAGGTGGCTTGGATAAGCTATCAAATAGTTACGTAGTAAGAGGCAAGTTTTGCAGTTAAAGGACACTGAAAAGCCACTCTTGCCTTATTTCTGGATGGGTTTCCTGTCACTAGAACAACCAAGAAACCCCTACAGTTACTACAGTTAATTGAAAAATGTTCAAAGAGAGCAGTATTTTTTTACTTTGTTTACTTCTGCAAATGACAGCACTTTATCTTTGGCACAATGCCACCAAATCAATTAAATTATTGTAGCAACATAACCATTTTAAACTGAAAGAACATTTTGGCATGGGCTAAACTACGCTGAGGTGGTAACATATGAAGAAGACCTAGTAAAACAGGGAATTAATCTTACTTGGGAGCCCCAAAGCACTACTGGGATATGCAATGGTCACAACTGAATCTGAACCTTGTCCAGTATATTTACGGTATTTTTGTCACTACAGTTGTACATGGCAAACTCAAATTTTAGCTTGTTACTATCCATATGTCCCCCTGTTATTTAATTGTGCATACATCTTATTTCTCCTGGGGAATTTCCTGAACATTTCTAGACAAAAATCTCATTTTCTTTTTGATCATAGTTCTGCTGATTTCAGCTGGTATAAACTTCCTTTTCGCACTTTTGGTGCAACTTCCAATTTGAACCTCAGTCTAGTAAACATTTCTGCATGGGCTAAACAAAATGCAGTATCCGTATACTTTGGCCAGAATTTCCTGGTAGTGTGGGGTTTTGGCTGCAAAACTGTGGGATGGGCACCACGTGTGAAATTCAGTTGTGCGCTGCCCAGCGCATCCACAGTTACGATACTGACACTGGATCTGAAACCAGTCCATGTGGATCCCACCGCTCAGCTCTCCCCAGTTAAGCACACAGGCATTTATCAAGCCAACTTCCAGACTTTGTGACAGAATGTTTAAGCAAGCCAAACTGAAACACCTGATTTTTTTAGGGAAGATGAAGCCTTGTGCAGCATATGAGCCATTAATTTTATGACAAGTGCAGATGGTAGATATACAGATAAATACACACGCAACCTAGTGGAATGAATATATGCTTCAACTCTTCTAAATTCTAATAGTTTCTAATCAGCTTAGTGTATCCCACGTGATGGCAGGTTCACTGCAATAATTTTAAAATGGATTTCACTACCGGCTGTAACTGAACCCTACTTTTTCTCCTCAATTCCGACCACGGCTGATTTGCATCCACCTCAACCCAAAGCAAACTTGTCCCTTTAGAAGGACAGGTAACCCGGAGAAGTTCCGCTGCAGCACTTCCCTGCGTGAAGGCACCCACGCTATCCGAAGGGCCCACCGAGCTCTGCCCTGCGCAGCGGGCCCGCGCCCGCCAGGGACGTTCCGGAGGAGGAGCTGAGGGAAAGGCCCGGAGGCCCCGGGCCTCGCCGCGCAGCCGGGGCCGGGGCGGTGCCCTCGGCGGCTGGGCGGGCGCGGAGGGGCGAGGGGCACCTACCCGGCTTGGAAGGACGGCGGCCGTCCGCCCCGGCCATGCTCCTCCGGTTCTCCCCGCGGGGGCGGTTCTAGCGGGCTCCCCTCGGCACCGCCCGGCCCTGCCGTGCGGGGCGGAGCCGCGATGGCGGCGTGACGGCCGGGGCTGACGGCGGCCTCGAGGCGAGGGGCTTCTCCCCGCCGTCCCGGCGACACCCGAGCGGCCCCCCTCGGCCCCGGCGTGGCCGCTCCCGCGGGCCGCCCCGGCAACCCGAGTCCCCTCTCCCCGCGGGTGCCCGGGACTCCCCCCCCCCGCCCCGCTCGCCCACGCAGGCCGCGGGGCTGCGGCTGCCCGCCGGCCCGGCTCTCCTCCCCGGCCCCGCTTCCCTCCTCCCCTCGCCGGCGGAGGAAGGAGGCGGCCGCCGGCTCTCCCCGACCGCGCATGCGGCTGTGCCGGGCCGGGGCAGCGCCGCCACGGTCGGGGGTTGAAGCGTGGGTGTCCCTTCCCCCCGTCCCCCTCCCCGCCTCCCCGGCGGGTCCCCGTCAGCGCCCCCGCAGATGGGTTTAGGCTGGAGCAGCGCGGAGGAGCGGCAGCCCCTCCTGCCGCCGCCGCCGCAGCAGCAGCAGCAGCAACGGCGGCGGCGGCCGCAGCCGCGGGGGCCGGCGGGGGGCCCGGCGGTGCCGGCGGCGGTGCCGGTGCCGGGGCTGGCGCCGTTGGCGGGCCGCGTCTACGGACGGCGGTGGCTGGTGCTGCTGCTCTTCTCGCTGCTGGGCTTCGCGCAGGGCCTGGTGTGGAACAGCTGGGGCCCCATCCAGAACTCGGCCCGCCTGGCCTTCGGCTTCAGCGGCTGGGACATCGCCCTGCTCGTCTTCTGGGGGCCCATCGGCTTCGCGCCCTGCTTCTTCTTCATGTGGCTCATGGACAAGAAGGGTGAGCGGGACCGGGGGCGGCGGGGGCCGGGCGGTCGGGACTCCCCGCCCCGCTCCTGCGGCTTCCCCCGGGCCAGGCGGACACGCCGTGGCCGTGGCCGTGGCCGTGGCCGTGACCCGCCGACGCCGCGGTGGTCCTGAGGCCGGGGGAGGGGGCGCTGCCAGCCCGGGGACAGCGCTGGGGGCTGGCGGCCTCGGCCTTAGAAGGGCGTGACGAATACTTTATTTTCAGTATACTGTTCAAACAAAGGCACATCAAAGCCCGTTCACAAGGAAGGTACTTAAACTGTTCCTAAAGCTAAGAGGAATTACAGCATCTTAATGTCGCAGCCAGAGCTGTGGGTCTGGAGGAGGTGTGCTCCAGTCTGGCATGGCCATGTGAGTGTTTGACCTGGAGATGCTCGTGTTTTCTGGTAATCCGCTGTGAAACAAGCACTCATGGTGATGTTTGGATCAAGTAACATCAGTGCTTGGGGGCAGCCAGTGCATCTTGAAAGAAAGGCGTCATGTTTAAAAGCAGACTGGACACCAAGCTGGTGGTTTGCTTTTAGTTGAGCTAGGGAGGGAGATGCAAAGACAGAGAACGTAAACCAGAAGTTGTGCTTCAGGGTTTCAGAAGATGATCACAAGCAAGAGTTTCCTAATTTGCGTTCAGGTCATTGTGTCTTGGTAGCAAACTAAGGAAAATGGTGTTTGTCTCTGGAGAACTTCACCAGGGCCTGTGCAGTTTGTATGTGGTCACCCCAGGGACTGCTCCGGTGAGGTCAAGGTCCCCGTGTTTGTGGATATGAGCTTTTGGGCCTAAATCCACAGAAGCATTTAGTCTTTTAATTCCTGTTTAAACAGGCCTCTAAACAGGAGATAGGAGCCCACACACCCATGTGGCTCCCAATGTTAAGTGCTACTCATTCCATTTATTTAGGAATTAATAGCTCATTTGTGGAGAGGGAAGTGGGGAAAGTGAAGGCAGGCAGGGTGAAAAGTTGTAGCTGAGAAGGCACGTGTCTCGAAATTGGAATTGCTTTTCCTAAAACTGAAGAGGTGTTGGGGGAATAAAACCTATTGGGCTGAAAATACATTCTCCAAATGAGTCCATGGTGGCTGTACAGCCAGTCTCCTCTCAAGCAATTTAGACTTAAGTCGACAATGCCTGTCTAGACTGCTATATAATAGTATTGTTAATTATCTTAAAATTAAAGTAAGTTATTTTGTTTTGTACAGTGAAGACAATAACTCTGCTCATGGTATGAAGGAAATAAAGCTGAACTTGAACCTGTGCTTGTAGAACCAAGTCTGTATTTTTATTTCTTCATTTTCTGTGAAGTTGATGCTGAGCAATGCAAAAAAAAAAAATACTGGAAAAATTTTGAAGTAACTCATGGGAGAAGAAACATTAGTGTTTTGTTGTTTCTTTAATGTGATTAGCAATGTAGTTGCTGGATTTCTTGGTTTCACATGTAGCTTGATTTAATGACAATATGTATACAAGTGTTTTCTTCATTAACGGATTGCTTGGGTGTTTCTTTGTTTTGTTTTTTAATTTTTTAAAAAAAATTTCCATGTTCATTGGAAATACTGATATGAACTACCCCTTTGCTCTTGCTTTGTTGCTTTCCTTGTTGAGAGAATTTCGGTTGATAGCCTAAATAGAGCATCTCAAGTCATTGGCTGTTTGCATGCAGAGTACGTAAGGGCTCTGGAGCATGTTCTTTGCACAGCAGCAGATTTTGTGGGGGCCCTGTTGTGTTTCATGCTGTTTTCTCAGTCTGGATGATTCCCACAGAGAATGTGGTGCTGTTCACTTTGGAAGCAGCAGTGGAGTCCTGCCACTTGGTTTCTCCAGGAGCAATGGGGAGAGCTTCTGCTCTCCTGTGGGGCATGTTTCCATGGGAGCACGTTGTGGGGAGGTATCTGCTCTTTGGAGTACGCATGTGGAGTGTGACTCTACTGCTTTGAAGCTGTGAAGTTGGCTGGGTCTGACCTTGCAAGGGCAGTATTTATCACTTGCTTAGCCGTACAAATGCTTGTTGTTACACCAAATGCCAAATGTACCAAAAATGCAGAGAAACACCACCATTTACTCTCTGGCTTCAATCATCTGTCATTGGAGTTAGCTAGTAAAAGAACTGTCGGGAAAGAAATCTATTTGTGAAGTGTCAACATGTAAAACCTGGCATGTATCAGAAGTATGACACTGTAGATGATGTATGTCAGAACTGGAGAGGAGATTCTGCTGTTAGATAGTCTTATACTTCACAGCCAGATATAGCTAACTGATATTGGTAAGTAGCTGCCTGCTGCCAGTGAAGTCTGATTTTGTGTTGTGATGCTTCAGACGAAGTCCAAAAGTACTTGTCTTTTTGCGTTTTAGTTGTTTATTGTAGCATATAGTTTGAAACGTAAATCTATTTCCATACCAAACTCCTGTTGTATTATTTTTGCACCTGTTTCTTATTCCAGTACTGCTTATAAGGGTTTGGTAACTTTTTCTAACCTTTTAACCAGTTAGAAGTTGAAAGGTTATTTGTTTAGCAATAGGCACGTTACTAATCATCCTACTTGGAAGAAGCATTTCTTGGGCTGTGTGATTCAGTTCTGTCACAGCTTCCCAGAAGAGTGTGGGGTCTTCTGTGAAGAGGGGACAGCAGTGTTTATTTTTAGTAAAAGGTATGATAAATAAGCTCCAAATGATCTGTTCTTCAGTTCTGTATAGAAGGGATCTAGGATGGAGAAATTACAAATTTTTTTGTTTTCAAACCTTGAAGGGTTTCTTGACAGGCTGGGAGGGGAAAAGTCACAAAGGCCAAGTGTGTCTCCTGGGCTTTTTGTGGAGGCCTGTTTTGCAGTTGACACAGGCAATGCAGTTGAAGAATGGGGGAGAATACGTGGGCTGGGAAAGGTGTGTAGATGGTGTCACCTATGGCTCTGGGGAATTTCTGCAGAAGATACTACCTCCCCAAAGGACTCTGACTCAGAACGGGAGTTGATGTCAGCAGCAGGATGACAAACACTCTTGGTTGGCTTAAGCTCATGTTCCTGTGGATCTATAGGTATTTCCTGGTTTTTTATGAAATTGGGGGTGAGTTTTCATCAGGAGTGTAGCGATGGTCCTCACAAGACTGTAATTGCAAAAAAATGTTACTTGAAGGTCTGAACAGACACAGAAGGCATAGGCATTTTTTTTGAAGGGTCTTTCAGGAATTGGAGGAAGTCTGGATTTAGCTGGTGTTTCTGTAAGTTGTGTAAATTGAAAGCTAGTTTGTATCTTTTGCTGAGCTCTTGCCATTCTCAAAAATACATTAATATTCAGACCCTTAGCTAGGCTCATGTGTCACAACTGGAAATTCTTCTTTGGGGAGCAAGCCCTGTTCCCGTTCCTGCCTCCCAGCTTTTTCTGGCCAAATGGAGACTTCTGCCAGCGTGCTTGTCCTCAGGAGCCTGGGGGAGCTTTCCGTGCTCCTTGCCTGGGTGCTGGGATAGGGACAGCAGTGGCATCCGTAACGTTTCCTAGTCCTGTTCTGGGATGGGTGCACGTTGAAACTCAGGAATTATGTTTGCGTGTGTCACTTTTGAATATGTACCATTTTGAAGTAGATTTGAAAACCCTTTTCCATAAGTTAGAGTTACAGGTGTTGTCTTGGTTTGTTGGTTTCTTAGTGAAGAAAGGTTAAAAGATGGAGTGTGCTGTGGTTCTACATGTGTCTTATCTGGTGCATTTGCTTTAGCAATAGGATTAGAGTTCTTGTTTAAATGATAATTACCTTTAGAGATTCAATAAGACTGAAATTAAATGGGAAATTACTTCAGTGTGCTGTTGGATGGACCCTTGTTGTTTACATGATTAAAATTAGCTACAATTTGTCACATGATGCTCGAGTGTTTATGGATGTTTTGTGCCTTGAGTGTTTCATTTCCTGGGAACTGTAAATATAGGCATACAGAACTGTTAGGATGTTTATGTATCTAACTTGAAATAGAAAGCTTACATACTTCTATGGATCTGGTTCACTGGGCTTTTTTATTAGTTAAACTCATAACATTGCTAAGTGAGACCTAGAAGGAATATATAATGTCAGTCTTCATTATCTTCCCATATAAGCAAGAAGAGGCAATAAAGACTGAAACACTTTTTGATAATTTAAACAAATTGAACAGAATGGTGATATTTTCCATTAATTTTTGGAATACAGTGAACGCAGTTTTATATTGAGTTTGAAGAAATGTGACATATTACTTGTAATAGTGAAATGTAATCTATTTCTTGGTCCTTTTTCAGAAAATTATATGCTTACATGGGTTGCATAGACATTCTTAGTAACTTTATTTTGTTGAAATTAAATTTACGTAGCATTGTTATCCTAGTGATTAAATTATGAAGTAAAGAGAAGACTTCAATAATCAGATTTTGTTTTTTAATGGAGATTGACTTATCTCCTGAAGCCATGAATGTTTTCACTTGTATGAATAGTTACTTCTTTCCTGAATATCAAACTCTTGATTTCATTGCTGTCTCCTAAATCATGCTTTTCAGTTTCTTTCTCTGAGACATTTGATAGTTCTTATCTCTTCCACCTGGGAATTTTGAGGTTAAATCCTTTAATACAGTCTGACAAAATCATGAATATTGAGTATGAGTACTAAATCATGTCTTATTAGTATAAAAATGTCTTAATAACTATTCTCTTTACAAAATAAACTACACACAATGGATAAAGAGAATTCTGCACAGCAGCTTTCATATTTGAAGTTCCCAGTTTGTCACTTTGTGCTGCATGCAGGGAAACCCTGATTTTACTTTGAAGGAAACTTTGGATTCCTCTAACTCACATCTAGGGTCACTGGGACAGAAGGGGGAAGACTTTAAGTGAACCTGTTGTCACCCTAGACTTTTATCTAGGAAGTGTTTGTGAAATGCCTTTGGTTTTGTTTTGAGAGATGTGAAGGTGGGTATAGAGAACAAAGAGGAAGTAGGTGGTTATTCCAGAAGTCAGTGAAAATGTG